AGATCCAGCTTCGGATCAGAAGCTCGAGCCAGGCGGAGACGCGGTGCTGGGCGAAAAGAGTGCGCTCCAGAGCGTCGAGGAGTTCTTCGCCACGCTCGAGCCACCCGTGCTCCCAACGGCACGAAGAGGTGGAGCCAAAAAGGCCAAAGTTCAGAGCAAGGGTGGTAAAACGTCGGCAGGCGACGGTGCCGTTGCAAACATGCGCGACGGACAGGCGTCTGAAGTGCCGCTGCAGAGCCCCGTGCCGTTCGACGGCTTTGACCAGTCTCTCTTGCCGTATCAGACGGATCCGGCGTATGGAAATTACTTCACTATGGCGGCGCCGGGACTGCCGCAGGCGGCGATGCTGTCACAATTAGACCGGCACATGGTGCTGGCATCGTACGCAGGAATGGATCCGGCGAGCGCGGCAGCGATTTCGAACACTATGTCTACAGCGGGAGGTGTGGAAGGTGGTGTGGGGATAGGGATGCCGGGAGTGCAGCAACAGCAGCAGCAGCAGCAGCCGGTTGACTTGTGGAATATCGGCAATGTGGATTTGAGCGTATTTGGGTCGGCAGGGATGGGCTTCGGCGGTGCGAATGGCTGGTCGGATCCCAGCACCGCATGGTTTATGCCCTGGAATCTGGCGCCGCCCGAGAATCCGCGCGGCGAGGAGTTTGGCGATGCGGCGTTCGGAAGGATGGGATATGGTGGCTTCGGAGGCGTCGGGATCGTGGAGAGGATGCAGGGGAACAATCGAACGGGAGGGGGCGTGTTTGATGATACCAAAACGCAGTAACTCTGGGTAGGATAAGAAGGATCTCCGCCTCGATGTTCTTGGACCTGCGGGCAGCTGGATAGTCCAGAGCAGCGTACATATTCGAACGATAAAAGGATTCCGCGGCTTCGCGCTGCTAATTGAAAGTAAACAAAGACACCGCTGTGAAACAGTAAACAAACATGGTGATTTTCATTTTCATGGTGTTGCACATTAAACCCCTTGCATCCCTGCAGCAATGACGTTTTTCTGACCGATGCGCCAACCAAGCAAGCCAGTCCAAAGCAAGCAAGCAAGCTCGTGCCACCGAGCTTCAACCTCCCCTCCGGCCACACACAAACAACTTCTTCGCAACCACTGAACCTACCCCACGAACACAAAATCACGATGCCGCGCAAAGGCTCTGTTGCGGCGGCGCGTTCTGCCACGCGTTCCCAGGACAAGGGATATCTCAAGTCGAACGAGATAGCCGAGCCCGTCGTGCTTCCTACCGCAGCACAACCTCCGATCAAGCCAGTCGCGAAGACTCCCTCGGCGTTGCGCTTCGTTCTTGCTGTCATTCTGAGCTTCGGGACCTCTTACGCGCTCTACACTTTCGGTGCGCCGTATACGGCGGGCGAGTTGTCGGCTGTGAGCCGCCGCGTTGTTGAGCTCGAGGAGGTCCTTGCGTTTCCGGCATGGCGGATCGTGGAGCTTGGTGTCGGTTGGCTTGCGGGTTATGATGGTAGGTTGATTTGTGGTGATGGGTGCTCGGGTACTAACTGGGTGTAGACTACGACGTTGCGGCACTCATCATCCTGACTCGCCTCCCTTACTACTTCCTCCTCAACACCTTCTACGAAGTCTCACTTACGACCAGCGCCCTCGCTCTAACCTTTGACGTCGTCAGCGCCGCGCTTCCTTTCACCTTCCTCCGCAAACGGCACCTTGAGCACGTCTCCTCGGCTCCCAAATCCGCTGTTCCGAACCAAGGTGTGATCAACAACAAGACGATCTTCGGCCTCACGTCTCTTCTATCATCTAGCTTGTACACGATCGTCCTCTACGCCTCCTTCCGCACCTGGCTTCCCGTCTTCGTGGCTACACACTTCCACGATCTTCCCACGCTGGAACTCGCTCACTCGCGCGGCTACGTCGACCTCCTCCCGCTTTTCGTGCCGCTCGGTTGGGCCGCTTTCGCGTTCCTCTTCTCGCCTAGCGCAGGCGCGCAGAACAACCTAGGTGACGCTCGTGCGGCGGCTTTCAATCCCGCTACTGCATCGATGTGGGACCATATTGTGCACAACGCTTGGGGCTGGGAGAAGGGCACACGGGTGCTCATTTCACGAACGGTGGTCATCGGGATTCTTGTGGGTGTTGGAACTTGGGTGCGGGTCTGGGGCACGGTGGAAGGAGCTGAGAGTTTGGGTGCACTTGGGTGGGCGGCGCTTTGGGCGGGAGCTGGGGCGCTGAATGCAGCTGCAGTTGGGTGGGTTGGGTCGGCGGCGGAGTGATGGCTGGGATTTACGGTCGGTGATGCGCGGATGATGGGCATAATGCTTCGCTTTTATCTAGGTTCCTGGCTGGTGCTTCGGAGTGTGATGCGTAGACAGGGCGTAGATCGGTTATGAGCGCTGACTAACATATATCCATAGATATAAAGTCCGCTGGTTGTTCCTTCCTGTCCGAATTCTCCCCTTCCCTGCGCAGGGCATAGACCCCTTCACCAGCAGGCCACCTCCCCGTCTCTGTCCCTTGTGCCTTCCCTTGTTGATGTTGTCTTTGGCTTTCCGCCATCGGATTGCGTAGGAGCGTGGCACGACCGGGTGGGATAAAATCGGTACCTCGTAAATCTACTCTTCTCACCACATCCCAACATCACCATCTCATCTCAATCCACTGCATTCTCGTCACTACGTGAATCACTACATTCAACCATCATTTCTCCCAACAAACAGAATGTCTCCCTTTCATAATGACAGCAACGAGCCCTCCGGCCGCAGCTCGCCCGGTAATCACCAGCCACTGCCTCTCCTTCCTCTCTCTAGAATACCCACCCTCCGTCGCTCTAACGGCACTTCGCGAATCAGTCGCAATTCCTCCACCAGCACCTCGCCGCACCCCACCGGCATCGCCCTGTCCTCCAATCGGTCCCGCAGTCGCGATACCTCATCCGCCTCATCCGTGAGTCCTACAACAAATTGGCATCCCCGTGGACATGCGTCCCAGTCGGCGCTGTGGGATGAGCGTGGGTTTCTTCGAGCCGGCGTTTTGCGGAGGCAGAGGCAACATCGGACAAACAGCGATGGCCGTTCTCTTTGGACTTGTAGAGTGGTTGGCCTCGGATCGCTGAGTCCGGCGGTGCGACGTGCTCTGGAGAACGCCATATACATTCTTATTGCTGAAGAAGAGAGAGATGGTGGTGAAGTCGACTCCGGCAGGCCTACCGTTATTTACAGCAGCGGAAGCGACAACGACGAAGTCAACGGTCTCGGCGATGGGAGTTATGAGGATGTTGGCTACGAGGGGGTTAGTACCGTTTATTGGTCCCGGATTTGGCGTTTGGCCTGGTTTGGTATCTGGGGGTTTGTTCAACTGACCGAGGACAGACCTCGTTGCCTATGGCGAACGGTGACGGGACTCCTGACTGGCACCCGGACCCTCGGTTGGTGGCTCGGCTGGTGGATGACGGTAGCGGCGGCGACAGCCTTTGGACCATCCATTTCAACGAGAGGAATCATGATGATAACGTCGCTGATACTACGAACGGTTTTGCTGCGGGTTCGTCTGGGCCCGAGGGGGGGAATTTGACTACTTGGGCCACGCCCACGTGGCTTTCGCCCGCCAACGAGACAACTTTATCTCGGCCCTCGACACCTCTGACCGTGAGCGATGAGTCAATCTTTGAAACTATTTTTCAGGACCTTGGAGATCTTTACGATGACCTGGATCTCCTCCATGCGGCCATGTCTGTTCAGGGGTGGCGGGGCTCGCGGTCTGTTGCCCGTGAAGTCGAAGCTCGTGATCAGCTGCAGGACCAACTCCTGGAGTCACTCCAGAGCCAGGCAGATCTTTGGCCCGTTGCACAACGCATCCTCAGTGTGCTCTACGTGCAACGAGCGTTCACCGATGACAGGGTTGATGGCATCCGGAGCACCAGTGGCCTGAACGGCACTTATAATAATGGCACTCATTCCAACGGCACTCATTCGGATGATGAGAATTGGGACAGCACTGATATGGATGGTACTCCTGTGAATACTCATGTCAACGGCACTCATGACAACGATACTCACGTCAGCGGCACTAGTGTCAACGGTACTCAGGTCAACGGCACTCGTGCCCACGCCACTCATGTCAACGGCGTCCATGCCAACGACACTCGTATCAACGGCATCCGCGTCAACGGCATCCGTGTCAACGGTACTCGTGTCAACGGTACCCGTGTCAATGGCACTCGTGTCAATAACACTTACACTTACACCGACGCTTCTACCAACACTCCCCCCAACGGCACTCATCTAAATGGTACAGGCTCCACCAACCCTTATACTCCTGAGCGCCTTTTCCAACCCCACCCACGTAGGCCATCCCTTAGCAATGTGACGTTTTACGGGACCTACCCCAGGCTGAACAGAAGCCCGAGCTATCGGCGACACGACGCTTCGCCCCAGGTTTGGGGACCGACAGGCGGCCCGCAACCGGCGGCGAGTTACTTCAGCCGGCGCGCCATGGGGGCTGCGTTTGCGGATATGGAGTCCAGTGATGATGATTCGGATGTGGAAGTCTGAGACCGCCTTTGCGCGGTTGTTTGAGAAGGTGGGGTTGGTGCTGGGGAGTTGAGGCGGTGTTGCTATTCTTTGAGGTTTGTGGCCTACTGATGGGGTGTTTTGAGCGGCAAGGCTGAGGGCGGTCATAATGAACGATCGGCAGTGGAGTGGTTTCTTTAAAGCAACACTGTCGTCGAGGTCTCACATTTAACTCTATTCCAACTCTTGCATTGGCCGGTTTACACTTGTATTGATTCCGTCCAACAGTCATACTTGCAACACGTCCGCTTCCAGTAAGGCTGCGATGACGGACCCTTGTACATGAATTTCGACAGCGCTGGGGGAATGGAAGAGCCATCATCCACCGCACAATGCATCTGGAAGAAGCAAAAATTCCCTATCGCTCCCTGCATGGCTTCGTATCCTTTTAAAAAGATGCTTGGCACCTGGGGAGCCGGTATGAGTTCAAAGAGGGAGCAAAAATGCACATTTTCCGATACCGGGAATCGAACCCGGGCCTACCCGGCGCTTTGTTACAGCGAGCGAACTCTGGTGAGAGCGGGTAATCCTAACCACTAGACCATATCGGATGGGAGATGGGGAGTTTGGGTGGGGTAAACCTAAGATTAGTTTAAGGGGTCTGGGGGGTGGGGCGGGGATGGGGACTTGCTCCTTCCGCCAGGATGACAAGTGCTGTACGACAAGTTGGAGAAGTGCCGCGGATGTATGTTCATGTACCTTGAAGTGGAAAATGTGCTTGTGGGGAATAATCACTGCGCATCAGTTGGTTGAAGTACATTCATTCTCCGCATGCGTTCTAAGCATCGAAATCTAAATACCATCCCCAGACAATAAGGTCACGAATGAGGCTGCCGATGCTTCTCCGCCCCGGTCATTATATACCGCCTCCATCATTTCCAACGGCTTTCAGAACGCCCCGCCCCGCCCCGCCACTCCTTAGCCGTTCCATGGGTGCGAGAGAGAGGCCCGGCAGGGCACTTATTGGTCCCTATCAATTCTGTCACGTTGTTCTTCGCTCAGGATGTGGCGTGACTCGTTCTCCGTTGTGAGCTGGTCGTACGCCTTAGCAGGGAACTTCGAGTATTGGACGAACGCCGAGAGATAAGGTGGAGACCGAGCAAGGAGAAGAGGGTTGATGTTGTCGGTGGGAATTGTCGGGCTGGTAGAAAATCGAGTGAGTCAGTCAAGGAGCGCTTGGTCGGCTTTGAGGAAGACTTGGCCGGCTTTGGAGCGGGCTTGATCGCCTCTGGCGGAGGTGCAGTCGGCTTCGGGGCAGGCCTAGTAGGCTCCAGGACAGGTTTAAGCGCCCCTGGCGCACGACCGGTCGGCTTCGGGGCAGGCTCGGTCGGCTCCGGAGCGGGTATAATCGCCTCTAACTCAGAATTGGTCGACTCCGGAGCGGGTTTGATCGCCTCTGGCGTAGGATCGGTCGGCTTCCCGGCAGGTTGGGTCGGCTCCAGAGCAGGCTTGATCGCCTCAGGCGCAGGATTAGTGGGCTCCGTCGCGGGCTCGATCGCCGTCAGGCGGCGGACCGCGAGGTGGAATATCCGGAGAGTCGTCAGGCGCAGGCACCTTAGACCTCCTCGGCCCTGTATATAATCGTATGCGGCAGCACCGCGGCCGCAAGACGGTTGAGTATGTCGGGCTTCACGCCGAAAGCTGGAACAATTTCGCGTTGAAAACGTGAAGAAGATTGCGATGGAGACACTCCATCGTGGCCTCCTGTGGGCCTGTTATATACCCAGCGGCAGGCGATAGCTGAGTTGCCGGCGACTCCATGGACGACGGAAGGGCACGACGCGCCTTGAGAAGCCGTCGGATCATATATATCTCGACCGCATGATCGATATACGCCAGAACGGGCATCGACCGGGCCAGGCAGTCTCCATGCGTTCCATACCAACCACGTGTAGTAGCCTTCACTCTTGTCCGGTGACCTCAATCGCACTAACTGAAATCGCAAGCTGGCGTAGTTGAGCCGCGAGGTTGCGCGCCGACTAATCATGGTGGAGACGGTTGGAAAGCTGTTGGAACAGGGAAATCTTTCATCGCCGGATTATGAAGGGTTGTATATACGCCGGAGCAGCACCGGAGGCGCAAGTCATGCCAATTATCCTGAAGGCGATTGGGTCGAAATGTCTAGAGGTATAATTGTCATCGCGGTGCTGTTTCCAGGAAGGACATTCTGGACCGAAGGTGATCTGAAGCTTCCAGGGCTAGAGGCTGTCAGCACACCTCCTACGTCGTCATCCGGCAGGGTGACTTACGGGGAAGGTAATATATATACCATTCTCTTCTGTGGCTTCGCACGCCTAACACAAGCTCCCGTTTTGGCGACGCATGCGATATCGAAAGCCACCGACTTAACAAGCGACGTCATGCCGGTGATTGGATGACCGGCAAAATGAGCGGCGCGCTCGGTCTCTAGGTCGCGGCGGAAAAGGATTGCTTCGAGGTCCCTAAGTGCTTGCCCCAAATGAGGTTCCACCAGCTCATGCTCATCTGCAGTGGGATAAAACGTCTCGTCATTCTCCGGGCCCTCAATGTTGCGCTAAATGACGTATAGATGGCTACCGGTGGCCCGGCGGGAGGGGCCGAGCCACCGGACAGTCAAACGGTGGTGGTGAGAATGCTAGCGAGAATTGTTTGTACCGGTTCAGGTATTCCAGAGGGCGCTGTATATACGCCGCCACCTTTGGCTTGTGGATGGCGGCAAACTTCTCGACCAAGCGAAGACAGCCACGGTAAAAAAGCCTGTTGCTCTTAAAATATTTTGCTGCTCAAGTCTCTCAAGATAGCGCGAAGTAGCCTGGAAAGGTGGGACCTGGCCTGGCTTGAGTGCAGCAGGAGAAGTACCCGTGGCCGTCCTCTCCGGCTGGAATCGTTGCTCTGAGAAACTCCATCCATTCTTGAACGTTGTAGAGTTTGAAATAAACTTCTTCCCCCAAATCGAGCAAGGAGTTGACTTTGGCTTGACTATCAATACCGGAGCCTAGTCGCCGGCAGGCACCGGAGCCTGGTAACCCGCAGGTACTGGAATCCGGTCGTTGGCAGGCACTGCAGCCTGTTCGCCGGCAGGCACTGGAACCTGTTCGTTCGACAGGGTTGGTTTTTGATTGTACGAATCGATGATAGATGGCGTAGGTGATAGGTGGCAGGCTGTGTGGTTGTTGGAGGTTGAAGGTTGGACGTTGGACGTTGGATTTTGGATTTTGGACTTTGAAGTGCGCCGATGCTCGCCGCTTGACATATGATTTAGAACTCAACTGCTGGAAGGTGCGAGACGAGACCCCGCAGCCCAAGGCCGGCGAGGGCACTATGTGCTAGCTTTATACTAGCTAGACGCTCTGTAATAGATGTAAGCATTGGGTCGTGAGTAATAGTGCGACTTACATACTTACAGTTGTAGAGAACTTCGAAGGTCAGCTAGAACTTCAGATTCTCAATCTCCGTCGCACGTTGCCCGTGGGGAGTGTCCGGGGAATCCTCAAGCCGGGGGAATTGTTTGGTGCCGGGGGGTGACATGCAGAACTTTCGCTGAAGCTCAAAAATAGCAACATGATGATGGTTCGAAATCGAAGGATCAGAACATTGTCGTTTGTGGGGTTGTGGCTTACGAACATCACGCTGGCGGGTATGCTTATGGGCTGGCAGCTGGCAGTCGTCGAAGACGGATGAGCTCTTACGCATACCGAGCACCACATTGGCGGCCACTGGACAGATGCACACTCAGAAGAATGCTTAGCGGACCAAAGGAAGATTCCCTCATACTCTCGAGCCACCGAAGAGGTCAAGTCATATGCGAAGCAGTCGTCCTATGAGGGTTGTAGCCACCTTGCTTACGCGTTCGATCGATGTATGATATGGCTGTGGGTAAGCCATACATGAGAGTCATATATGGACCTGTACAAGTACGCCAGGAGTGACTATCGTGCGAACATACGTTCTACTGCAATGCCCTGTGCTGCTCACATTGTGGGGATTGCAGATTTTCGGGTTCGCAGAAGCTTTGGTGAGCGGAGTTGAGAGCGGATTTGAAGCGGTTATATATTGATTGATGAAGTTGATGGTTCCTGATTGCTGTTGAGAATGGGTGTTGGTGGGTGTTGTTGATGGTTGATATTGGTGGTTGCTTCTGGTGGTTGTCGTTGTGTGTGGGTGTGTGAAGAAAGAAAATGGAAGTGAAAGTATGGGCGTTTGTCAGTGACTCCATGCCCCTCTCTTCGAAGGCTGCCAAGGATCGATAGGGCTAACCGAGTGATAAGATGCTTCGAAGGTAAAGTGGCAGGTGCGACCGCCAGCTGTCATAGGAGCAACGGGAATTCGGAGCGCTCGGGGGATCTGATTACCTAGGAAAAGTCACAGGCTTTCCGGCTGGGTGTTGAGCTCCGAACAGCCAAGCAGTCGAGAAACGAGTAACAGCATACGCCGGTTACGCTGTGATACATGTGCTAACCTGCCGAACAGGCTCTTCGATGCTATCGAACACTGGATGGAATCCGACACTGGCGTCACGCTCGTTTGACATGTGTGATCTGGACCTGCAGTACGGGCACACGATCACCTAGAGCTTCAGAAAGACAACCCGCGGTGATGACCTAACTCATCCTTTCAAGATAGTACTTGTCAGAGTCTTCCCTCTTTCAAGCTTGAAGACGAGGCAAGGCCGCCCTTGGCATTAGGCTGAGAGATCTCCGGTCCGCATTCGTCCCATTGCACAATCGGTGTACTCTCGCGGGCGACGAAGACGGGAAAAGAAATCGCGAGTCAAATACCATCCCGAGCGTCCTTTTTCGAATATTTGAAGGCCGTCCCGCATCTGTTTATGACAAGTTGAGGTGATCAACGTGACGTCAGTGGAAGTATCTCGAGATGTAGTGTCACATCGGATCCACAGTTCATCCGATCCGCGACAAACGACCTCTCATCGACAAGGACCTTGGTGCTCGCAAACCGCCCGCCATCATGTTGCCATGTAGCCTCACGAAATCAATACCAGTACTTTTAGCGATGACCATGATATCTCAACACATTCCCTTTCACCCTTTATCGCCGTTGTGACCGCGTCTTTCCTTCGCGACTCCACCCACCCCTCAAGCATCGCGTCCTCCATCGCACTTCACCAAACCACCTTCACTCATTTCTATCACGATGTCACCCTCCACCCCCCTCTCCGCCCACCGCATCCCGACCCTCCCCGAAAGCATGTACTACATCCCCAACTTCATCTCCTCCGCCGAAGAATCCGCGCTCCTGGACAAAGTCCGTCCTCCCCCTTTCCCAACCCCCCCCCCCCCCATCTCTCCCTCCTAACCCCCAACAGATTCCCCCAAACCGCTGGACCCCCCTCGCTCACCGGCGTCTCCAAGCCCACCCCACATCCCTCCACCAGGGGCATACCCTCCTCCCCGCCCCCCTCCCCCCCTTCCTCACCCCCCCCCTATCCCACTTCACCCTCCTCTCCCTCTTCGCCCAAACCCCGCATCAGGCACCAAACCACTGTCTCATAAACGAGTACCTCCCGGGGCAGGGCATAATGCCGCACGAAGACGGGCCGGCGTACGCGCCG